GAAGGCTAAGGTATTCTAGAGGGACATCTAGCTCAATTGGCATAGAGCATAGTTTATAAAGACAATGTTCTAATCCCAGTTTGGTGAGTAGTACATCTGGGGTCTTAAAAGCTTGTGAGTGACCAGTATGATACAACTATTGGTGTCTTCCTCTTTGGAGCAAAGGAGAGTGAAGGAAACTAAAGACTCAAGAAGAAATTAGTGTAGAAAACTAATGGTCTACACAAACCACAGCTGCCTTTAGCTTGATGCCCTGCTACTACTACCAGCCATTCTGATCAGGAGGGACACAACAGAAGTTGCTGTTTAGAATGGTAGAAAAATGTAGAAGCAAAAGTCAAATTCATAAAAAAGACCAGACTTAGTGTATGATAGAGACTAAAGGAACCCCCCAAACTGTCACCCTAAGACACCTTTTTAAGCTGGAATTGAAGACATTCCCAGAGGTCACCCTTCAGCCAAATAATATATTGACATACAAAATAGTGAGGAAAGTGCCCCTTAGAACAATCAACTAAATGAGACCAAATAAGCAATATTTGCCCAGAAGCAAAGATAAATGGCAAGAAGGGGCAGAGAAACTAGAGGGATGAAAATTGGGAAGGCAGGGTGGAAATGAGAGTGCAGAGAACATGCAGGGATGGCAACCAATGTCACAGTACAATTTGTGTATGAATTATTGAAAGGCAAACCAAGTCACTGTGTGAACTTTCACATAAATCACAATGTGTTGAAAAAAAAAATCTATGCAACAATTTTGTGCCTTAACAACATGTCTGGCAGTAATGAACTCCCAGGTGTGAGGGGAAAATAATGCTGGTTATGATGTGTTTGTTAACTTAGCCAGGCCATGATTCTCAGAGTGGTTTGGCAGTTATGTAATGATGTAGTCATCATCTTTTTTTGTGATCTGACATGGTCATTCTCTATTTTTACGTAATGTTGATTTCTGCATAATGACTTGGACTTTGGAACCTAACCAAGTCTGTAAGTGAGGAGTGAGTGTATTACACATGTTCACATACATTGTGTCAGTGTGTTTTTCAAACTATTTGTCAAGACTGGTAATTCAAATAATGAAGTGGAATAGAACAGAAAATATGACTGAGTATATCCCCTACGGTAAAAGTAAGTAATAGCAGACAGTGAACAAAGAGTAGCTAAAGCAAATGAGAGAAATGATAAGATAAAAGATCTGAACAGAAGATTTCAAAGAACAGCTCAAGAAGACAAAGTCAATTATTATAATGAAATGTGCAAAGACCTGGAGTTAGAAAACTAAAAGGGAAGAATGCACTAGGCACTTCTCAAGTTAAAAGAACTGAAGAAAAAAACTCAAGCCTTGAGTTGTAATATTAAAAAATTCTATGGGCAAAATACTGAATGATGCAGGAAACTTCAAAAGCAGATGGAAGGAATACAGAGTTACTGTACCAAAAAGAATTGGTTGATGTTTATCCATTTCAGGTGGTGGCATATGATCTAGAATCAATGTATTGAAGGAAGAAGTCGAAGCTGCACTGAAGGAATTGGGGAAGAACAAGCCTCCAGGAATTGATGGAAAACCCATTAGATGTTTCAATAAATGGATGCCGTGCTGGAAGCACTCACTTGTCTATGCCAAGAAATTTGGAAGACGGCTACCTGGCCAACTGACTGGAAAAGATCCTTATCTGTACCCATTCCAAAGAAAGGTGATCCCACAGAATGTGGAAATTATCGAACAGTATCATTAATATCAACACACAAGTAAAACCTGGCTGAAGATAATTTAAAAATGGCTGCAGCAGTATATTGACAGGGAACTTCCAGGAATGTAAGCTGGATTCAGAAGAGGATGTGGAACAAGGTATATCATTGCTGATTGATGTCAGATGATCTTGGCTGAAAGCAAAGAATGCCAGAAAGATGTTTACTTGTATTTTATTGACTACTCAAAAGCATTCACCTGTGTGGATCATAACCAATTATGGATAATATTGAGAAAAATGGGAATTCCAGAACATTTAATATGCTCATGAGGAACCTATACACAGACCAGGAGGCTGTCGTTCAAACAGAACAAAGGGATACTGAATGGTTTAAAATCAGGAAAAGGGTATGCCAGGGTTGTATCTTTTCACCATACTTATTCAATTTGTATGCTGAGCAAATGTTCTGAGAAGTTGGACTATATGAAGAAGAACGTGGCATCAGATTGGAGGGAGACTCATTAACAACCTGTGATATGCAGACACGACCTTGTTTGCTGAGAGTGAAGACAAGTTGAAGCACTTACTGATGAAGATTAAAGACTACACCTCAACATAAAACGAAAATCCTCACAAGTGGACCAATAAGTGGCATTATGACAGAGAAAAGATTGAAAGTGTCAAAGATTTCATATTACTTGGTTCCACAATCAACATCAATGGAAGCACAAGTGAAGAAATCAGATGACATTCTGCACTGGGTAAATCTGCTGCAAAAGAGCTCTTTAAAGTGCTGAAGAGCAAAGATGTCTCTGAAGACTAAGGTGCGCCTGATCCAAGCCATGGTATTTACAATTGCCTCATATGCATGTAAAAGCTGGACAATGAATATGGAAGACCAAAGAAGAGTTGATGCTTTTGAGTTGTGGTGTTGGCAAAGAATATTGAAATTACCATGGACTGCCAGAAGAATGAACAAATTTGTCCTGGAAGAAGTGCAGCCAGAATGCTCCTAGGAAGTGAGAGTGGCCAGGGTTTATTTATCTCACCTACTTTGGTCATATTGTCAGAAGGGACCGTTTCCTGGAGAAGGATATCATGCTTGGTAAAGTGGAGAGTCAGTGAAAAGAGGAAGGCCCTTAAGATGGATTGAAACAGTGCCTGCAGGAATGGGCTCAGGTATAGCAAGGATGGTGAGGCTGACAACACAGGACCGGGCAGTGTTTCATTCTGTTTTACATAGGGTTGCTATGAGTTGGAGCTGACTCGGTGGCACCTAGCAACAAAAAGCTAAGTAAGAAAGTTCTCAGATGCTCATAGGTTATATATAAAACATTTTTTTTTTTCTTGTGACATGAGTCAAAATGTTGTAATACATCTTTTAACCTTCAAAACAACTCAGATAAACCAATACCATGATTCCTATTGCTCTACCACACGTTGCGAAAATATGATTAGAAGTCTCAAGGAGCTTCCCAGTGTCATGAAACAACTATGGGGAGTCAGACCTTGAAACAAGAACTTTTAACACCAACTAAATCCTTTGCTGTTTTCATTATAACATGCTGGCTCCAAAATAGGCCATGGAAAAATATGGGGCTAAATCACAAAGATAAAAAGTTTGGTAGATTGCTCAAATTATAACCCATTAACAAAAGCACAGAAGTAGTTAAGATGACCCCAGAAGTATAGAAAAATAAGTCTTAATAGGAAGGGTCCTTATACTCCTTATCAACCTCTTCATTTTGTGGTGAATAAACAGACTCAGTGGGTTGGGGTCTTGCTACCCTGTGTGGTTTATGACTCAGCAGCATGGGAAACACCTGGAGTGTTTAAAATGTAGTATCTCAGATCTACTGGATTAGAAATCTGGGTTTTAACAAAATACCCACTTGACAAATGGACTTGTCAAAGCAACCCAGCTTCTTGCTGGCAAACAGGGAGTAGAACTCAAAGTTTTAGACTCCTATCAAAGGCTTTCTCACTAAATTAAGATGATTCCAGATCCTTTGAAACTGACCAAAATTTCATTCTCATAAGTAATGTGGGACTGGAGAACGGGAATTTTAGGAAACTGAGGAGTTTGCCTGCTGCTTCAATATTAGTACAGATTTGTTTTGAAGAATTTAGTCCCAGACTGATTTTAAACTAAGGCTCACTCACTCAGATCACTCTACCATTCCCAAAAAGACTAGATAAAAAGGCCCATAAAGACTGGATATGATTAAAAATACCAGTGTTTAGAGACTCTCTTGAGAGAAATTATATTTTGGCGAGTTTGCAATATAAGTATTTTAGACTGAGTGAGGGAGGAAGAGATGCCATAATCTGGTCTGAAGGAGTACCATCCTAAACCCAATCTCAAATCAACTCACTGCCATTGAGACGACTCTAACTCAAAGCAACCCTATAGGACAGAGCAGAAATGCTCCATAGGGTTTCCAAGACTATTGTAAATCCTTATGGAAGCAGACTGCCCCATCTTCCTCCTGTGGAGCGGCTGGTGGTTTCAAACTGCCAACCTTTTTAGCAGCTGAATGCCTTGACTACTGTGACACGAGAGCTCCCAGTACAACCTTAGGAGGGTGCTAAAGTAGTTAAATTATCATTCTCTGTGATTATCTATTTATTTTGAGAAAATATGAGGTGAATCTGTTTTGAAAGAATTCTAGCACTCTTACCTAGGTATCAGTTATTCAAATTAAAATCAGAAACTGAAAATTTAAAAATTCAAGGGGATAAAGTATTCTCTTTCCTTGAATGGAGATAAACACTACTAAGACAACTTTGAGTTAATGGGATTTTTAAAATTGGAATAGAAAAAAAAAATGGAAAAGCTGAATCTGAAAAACATTTCCACCCATTTTAATTCTGCATGGATTTTTATTAAATTTCTTATACTTGAAAACCATGACTTTATTATTCTAGATTATTCCTCATTGAACAGATAATATGCTTCTGTGTCTTGCCTGAAATATCTACCTTCTCCTGATTTGTTTGTGTTTTCTTTCCCCTCTATTTACCCGACTCCCCAAATGAAAATTGTTACTCATTCTCATCTTGGTCAAATGCTGCCTTCTGTGAGTTGCCATTAGAACTTCATTCCTCCTACTCTAATCTGAGAGTACTTATGCAGTTACCTACATAATCAATACATAGGACTTTGGTTATAATTTATTTGCATTAGGCTGTACACATCTTGAGGGCAGGGACTATTATTTAACTTTCATCTCCCACAGTGTGTTATATATTATAGTTAAGTAGATATATTATGTATTAAGTAAATGGATTAAGAATAAAAATACTTACAGATTTTTTCTTGATATTGCCCCAGACAACACCACCATTACTTTTATGTTTTTTTTGCATATGATAAACATATTTATCACAATCATCCCTGTTTGAATACAAAATGATTTCAAATCAACATTAACTATCATACTTTTTATCCACAAGTTGAACAGGAAGGGAAAAAGTAATTTAAAATGTGTTTCAACTAGACATTGAGTATTACAATGCGTTAACTTTGGAGTCATATTCCTAACCCACCTACCCCCAAGACTTCTTATTGCAGCTTGTTGTAAGTTACCACTGTTTGTTTAGTGACTTTTCTGAAGAAAAAAAAAATATGTCTCAATATTAAATAATGGCACATAACAACAACATGTTTAAAAAAGCAACGGTCTTGGTCTGATAGAGCCTAGTGGAACCCCTGAGACTATGGGGCCTAGCTGCTCTTCAGGTCTGGAATTGAACCTACTCCTGTGGCTTCCAGCCAAACAAAAGACAGGCATATGTACTGAACATTTATATTAGGTAGATACACTCCTTGGAGAGATCAGTTATGGGAGAATAGAAGCTATGTATGCACACGGAGACAGCTTGGGGGCAGGAGTGCATGGAGGGAAGGACACAGGAAAGAAGTGGTTATGGGGAAGAAGGGGGAGGAGAGCTGTTACATTGCGGGAGTTTGCAGTCAATGTCATGAGACAGAGTGTGTGTGAACTGCTGTATGGAGTTGAATTTGCTCTGTAAACTTTCACCCAAATCACAATAAAATAAAAAAAGGCAATGATCTTGAAGAATATAATTAATGTCACTAATTGTACATGTAGAAACTGTTGAACTGATGTCTTTTTTGCTGTATATTGTTTCAACAACAACAAAATAGATAAAATTTAAAGAGAAACAAACAAAAAGAATTAAAGATTTTTTAGCAGGTATTAAAAAGAAAAAGGCAATGGCGTGGCTATACAGGTGGATAAAATGGCTTCAATCAAACATTTTAAAGGAAACACTGAATAATATTCTAGGAAATTATAGTTTATTTTTTGCTTATTGTTCATTGTCTCATCTATGAGCTTTCTAGTATCCATCTTCCTGCCTCTTTTCCAAAACTCCTACTAAGACCTCTTGATCCAGAACTCCCTTTTGCTACACCTCTTATTTCTGTTTAGATTCTCCCTCCAGCAAGACTGGATTTCACAGTTGATCACTTAAAGAATATGCCATGTGATGAAATCTTCAGTTAACTTATAGATTCCAATTGTGCTGGTTTTTCAATTCAGGTCAGCAAACCTTTTATTTTTACACAGTTATATTCTTCTTGTATTTCCCATAATGGCTATAATTTTTAGAGGAAAATTGTAGCCAACCAAAATAGTTTGTCTCAATCCACCCCACTGCCTACAACTTCTAGTCCTGATTCTGGGAGTAAATCCCAGTTGAATACCAATATCTATCTTCCTCCTTAGCTCCAATATCTTATATGATCAATCATCCTCTTTGCTTTATGACTGTTTGGGAGCAACCTTAAAGGCATAACATGTAGAAATTTGCAAATGTGTGATTGTATTAAGATATTTATTTGAATCATAAATACTACAAAGTTGATTTGCTGCATAGCAAGTGAATTAGCCTAACCAGATGTTCAGGATCAGCCTATTATGAACCATTATTGTCCTAAGAGATTACGTCTTTAAGTGATAAAAATGATTTCATTATTTAAAATGTTTTTAAAAGGAAGCCAATTATCAGTGGTGGTAAAATCAAGAGCTAGTAAAAAGGCCTAGGAGATTCATTACTTCAAATAAAAAAGTTTTAGGAAATATATATTTATGATATAAATGAGGATTATGTGCTCTATAAAGAGAAAAAAAGCCTGTTTACTTAATTGTAAAAGTAATGTAAACTTTGCCTTGATCATTTTGTGCTGACCACCTCCTTATTGTATATTGCCTTTCCCTTCACCCAAGTGAGTGGGTGGCACACAGGTGTATGCCATTGTACATGCCTGTGTACCCAGAGGCATACAAGGTGAAAAATAACACTAGGGAGGTATGCACTCCTTAGCACAATCAATCCTTTAGACGATCCAAAGGGCAGCATCTGCCAGAGATAATGCTCAGAAGGTAGGAAGGGATAAGAAAGAAGGACTAACAGAAACGGTAAACACAGGGAGGAAGTGGAAAGAGTGCTGTCACATTGTGCAATCAACACAAAACAAAATGTGTATGAATTGTTGAATGGAAAATCAAATTGCTCTGTAAACTTTCACCCAAATCACAATAAAAAGTTTCTTTCTTTCTTTTTTTTTTTAAAAAAAGTAATGTAAACTAATAGAAAAACCTCTATCAGTTGTAATTCTATAACCTGGAGATAACACCTGGTTATATATTGGTGATATTTTGATCTATTTTGATTCTCCCTCCATCAAGACTGGATTTCACAGTTGATCACTTACTAATACATGTTATGAAAAATTGGGACCACACTGTATATTGTTTTATTTCTTAGTTTTTCAAAATTACATTCACTGAACATTATTCCATGTCATTAGCAATTTCTGACCCAGCAATTCCACTTCTAGGTATGTACCCCAAAGACTTGAAACTTAAACAGATACTTATACACCAATATTCACTGCAGCACTATTCAGAAGAGCAGAAAGGTAGACATAACCCAAATGTCCATCTATAGATGAATGGATAAACAAACTGTGGTATGTACAGACAATGGAATATTAGTCAGCCATAAAGAGAAATGAAGTTCTGATACATGCTACAATATAGATCAACCTTGAAAACATCAAGCTAAATCAAGTATGTCAAGCACAAAAGGACAAGTAATATCTTACTTATATGAGATGTCTAGAATAGGCAAATGCATAGACAAAACTTTATTACTGGTTATCAGGAAGGCGGGGTAACAGTTATTGCTCAAGGAGCACTGAGTTTCTGTTGGGAGTGATAAACTTGGAATTAAATAGTGGTGATGGTTTAACAGCATTGTTGTTGTTGTTGTTATGTGCCGTTGAGCCATAGCGACCCCTCCTTGGGTTTCCGAGGCAGTATCACTACGGAAGTAGATTGCCCCATCTTCCTTCTGAGGATACACTTAAAAATATTTAAAGTGACATTTTTCTGTTTTCTATAATTTTACCACAATTAAATTTAAAAAATATTTTGAGGACATGATTTTTAATTTATTACATTATATGGGCATACCTTAATTTTATAACCATTTCTTTACTTTTAGACATTTAGGTCATTTCCAAATTTTCAGTATTATGATGAAAATCTTCACCCTCCAAACAGACATATATTCTTGCCCAAATCTCATATTTCTTCAGAATTAACTAATATGATTTAATGATCAAAGACATGAACATTTGAAGGCTTTTGATGAATTTGGTTAAAGTACTTACCAAAAACTTTGTTCAAAATTATGCTTTTGATATGGCTCTCATCTGCACTAAATAATAAAACTAAATAAACCAAAAAATAGTTGTGGATTGCTAGGGAAAAATTATGTTTTTGCTAATAAAGAAACTTTAAATTTTACCAAACATCCTGAGAGTACTGAGTATTTGTTCTCAATCATTAACATCTGGTTTCTTCCTGTCATTCTATGGAAATTACTCTTGCTGTGATCAGTATAGGAGCTCTGGTGGCATAGTGGGTAAGACATTTGGCTGCTAAGCAAAAAGTCAGTGGTTCAAACCCACCAGCTGCTCTGAAGGAGGAAGATGAGGCAATCTACTGCCGTAAAGATTTACAGCCTTGGAAACCTGATGGGTTTGCTATGAGTCAGACTGACTCAATGGCAATAGGTTTGGTTTTTTGGTTTTGATGGATATTTGAGTGGTTTTCAGTCTTTTGCCATTATAAACAATGCTGCAATGAATAAGCTGTACATCGACAACTTCTAGAAGTAGTATTGATGGTCCAAAGGGCATGTGAATTTAAAATTTTGATAAATAATTGAAAAAATGTTGCCTGCTAAAATTGTACTAAGTTACCTTCTCATTAGCAGTGCATGAAAATGGCTTTCCCTCTCTTGACAAATTTTTAGGAGCACTGTATATATTAGGAAAATTGGCCTTTTGGCTGTGGTGAGTTACATGTTCTTTCCTCAGAATTTATCTTTTTATTGTTTATGGTGGTAGGTATACCAGGCAAACCTTTTAATTTTTTGTATGGTTGATTTTACTAGTCTTTTCATTAGTCATTTCTGGGTCTTGTATCAGTTAGAAAGACTTGCACTAATTTGAGGTTATATAATAAATCTCTAAGGGTTCTTTACGTATTTTTTTTTTTTTTTGGTTAATAGTTTACCTATAAAACTATGATCGATTTGGAATTTATCCTGATGTAAAATGTGAGCTATGTCCCAATACTATCCATTGAATAATAACCCTACTTCCTAAAATTGTCCATCCTTAGCTTCTAGGAGCTATTCTTTTTTTTTTTTTTTTTAACGATGGCTCATCTCATTACAGGCATCTACTCACTTCAATTCATAAAATGATTAAACATTCCCGTTATGGTAATAAAGAGAATTAAAGCATTATATGCATAAATATTTACCTATCTATAGAGGCTAGCATGCCAGGACTGACATGCTGACACTGAGGAGTTTTTGCCAACGGAAAGATAACTGATGATGGAGTTGTTGGATTCATGTCCATGTTTGGCAGAATATCACCCTCTTCTTGATGGTTCTGAAAACTTGGCAACTAGAAAGCAAGTATTTATTACCAGCAGGCACCCATAAAAATTGAATTTCTCATTATCACAAAATGTTTTTTGATGTGCTAAGTTGTTTGCCTCCTTAAAATTTCAAACTGAAATACTTAAAAACAGTAAAAATTAGTGGATAGAGAGTCTTTGACTCTAAAACTCTCAGTTTCTTTTATGTAAAATGGAGACAATGATAGTACTAAAAGTTGTGTAGACCAGGGGTTGGCAAACGTTTTCTGTAAAGAGTCAGGAAGTATTTTAGATTTTTGTGGGCCACAGAGTTTCTATTCAACTCTGCCATTTAGTATGAAAGTAGTCATAGACAATATATAAACAAAAAGCATGGCTGTGTTCCAATAAAATTTTATTTACAAGAATAGGTGACAGGCCAAATTTGGGCCATGGGTCATAGTTTGCCAACCTTTGGAACAGACTGAAAATAATGAAATGGCAATTCAGTTTTACTATTATGCTTGTTACTCGGTAGGTGCTAAAGCAGAATTAAACTTTTCTTGTGTGTATGTATTTCCAATAAACAACTCAATCCTTAAAGAGATTTGACTTACATTAAAACCTTAGAGAAAGTGGCCTTATGCCATAGAAAATGAGCTAATTCACTATTTTTCATTTCTATTTTTAATGTTGCTACTATTGCATTTAGGCCAAAGCACGTATGAAGTCTGAAATGATGGTGAGGTAACGTATAGGCCACAACCCCTAGTGAAACACAGTGTTGTGAAGAGAGTATGAGTCTCAGATGGAACCCTTAAACACCTCCCTCTATAACCTGTGCAGGTAAAAAAGGAGTCCAGATAATTATGTTATTAAACTCTGTGAAGCATATGTAGCTTTATAAATTGAAGATAATTTAACAATAATATTTATTTGTTAGACAAGAAAAAATTACTAAGTCTAGGTCACTAATACAAGTCTCTCAGTTTTTATACTTATAGTCCAGTTGTCTACATCCACACATTCTTAAATTACTTCAGTCCTTTTGTATAAATTATAGGAATTTTGAACTTAATATTTATACTATGTTTCATTGGAGTTCTGGTGGCCTAGTGCCTAGGCTTTTGACTGCTAACCAGAAGGCTGGCTGTTCAAACCCACCAGCCATTCCTCGGAGGAAAGATTGGGCAATCAACTTCTGTAAAGACACTGCCTCGGAAACCCAAGGAGGGGTCACTATGAGTCAGCATTTACTCGATGCAGTGACTCGGAAGGAAGGTTGGGCAATCCTACTTCCGTAGTGATACTGCCTCGGAAACCCAAGGAGGGGTCGCTGAGTCAGGGCTGACTCGATGGCACATAACAACAACAACAACAACAGTGAGTTTGGTGGGGCTTTTTTTTTTGTTGTTGTTATGTTTCATTGTGTTTAAGAAAAATATCCTTAGATACATATACAGTTTCTATTTTTTTGCTTTAAAAATATAAATATCTTTGGGAAGCTTTCTGGCTTATTTTGAGTTTCTTAGGGTAAGTTCAGGAGCTCTGATAGCTTAATGCCTAAAGCATTTGACTGCTAACCAGAAGGCTGGCGGTTAAAATCCACCCACTAGCCACTCTTTGGAAGGAAGGTTAGGCAATCTACTTCTGTAGTGATACCGCCTCGGAAACCTAAGGAGGGATCCGCTATGAGTCGGGTTCGACTCCAGGGCAGTGAGTAGAGTAAGTTCACAAGAGTAGAATTAATCTTTATGGCTCTTGTAATGTAGTGCCATGATGGTTTCCAAAAGGTGGATTCAGTTTATGCACCCGCTGATTGATGACTGTATCACCATCTCCATTGCTTGTTTTCAGTGGATATTTTAACTTATTTTTTAAAAAAAGATTGTGCAAGTTAGAAAGCATACATATAATTTTTTTTCATGTCTCCTATCTTGTCTCTTTTCCCTTATTCTTAGCAAACAGACCTGATGCATACTTCACAGAGGAAAATCGTAGCCAACCAAAATAGTTTTTCTCAATAATTTACTCCCCCAAGTGTTTGCTCAGTATTGTCCACTTTGTCCTATGATCTTGATGCTTTTTATTATTCTAGTAGTACTGCAATGAGTTCATATTACAGAGATTATTGGCTTTGTTTTATTTGTTGCAAATACTTTACCCTAATCTCTGAAGTTTTTAATTAGGCTACTTTTTATACTACAAATATGAACTCTTTTATACATTCAAATCTGTCAGTCTTGTGTTAGTCACTTAATCCCAATTTATCATGGAGTAGCTAATAATCTTATCACCTTTTTAAAAAAGTTTGCTCATTGTATATTCAATTTTAAATATATACATTTGACTTATTTCTGGGTTTTCCATTTGGTTCTAAAATAAACATGGCCTTCGAACTCCACTGAGAGCAGGTTGGAAGCCAGTAAGGATGTCATTTACTGGAAGACTGCTTCCTATGGTACACTCTAGTCATGTTTATGGACACTGTCAATCCTTGGCCTAAATATTAGTGATGAACACTAACCATACATAAAAGTGAAAGATATAAAAACCAACATATATTTAAAAAAAAAAGTGATTTCATATATTTAAGACTCTTACCAGTATTCTTTGATTTTGTAAAGGTGTTGTGCTGAAAAAATCATCATGGTCATCTTTTGGCAACCGTTCCAGAAAATCCCTTATCTGTTGCTTCCTTTTAAGAGTTCCCACTTTGGCAGTTATCTCAATAGTTTGCTTCTTATCAGCATTACCTATCTTGCCTTAAAGTCAGGGAAACATTTTGTTAATGATTTGGTCATGTATAGTAACTGCTCTATCAAGTTAATAGCCTTTGCAAAGTCTATACTGTATATTCCTATTAATTAAATTCATTTGTTGCCATTTTAGAAAAGTCTCTTAAGTAACAAATGAATCTTTACACTGGGATTTGTGCAATATTATTAGCTAGCAAGATTCTCATGAAGAAACTATGTAATATTAGGCATAATGAGGTTAAAAAGTTCTTTATGCTGTGAGAAAGGCTACTCCCAACATGTCTTCTTTGCTGAATACCTAATTTATTGATTTTGTTAAAACAAAACCTTACTGAATTATGGCAGGAATAGCAGGTATTTCCAAGCTTAGTCTAGGACTTTCTGGCATCAAATATCTTTTAACAGTTAAGTCGGGGCATAAGCAGTAATTTTGGGAACTACAAAAACTAAATATATTCTAAGTTTTCTTATAAATTACTAGGGACCCTACCCAAGTGGCTTCAAATTAAATTAAACCCTTAGAACAACAATATGGATATTAAAATCTCGAGATTCAACTGCAGATTTCCTAGAATAAACTCAAAAGCACAAGGCTGCTAAAGATACTATTGATTGAAATGCCTACTTAGGTAAGACTCAAAAAATTAAAGAGATGATCTTCGAAAGTTTTTTCTAGCTTTAAAAACGTAAGAAAATACTTACCCCAAACAGAATCGTGGTGAAATATAAAATGAAATTAGTGAATGATTAGAAATCTACATAGAGAATTAGGAAAAATCTGTTTACTATAAAGATTACCATTTTGACTTTTGGGATTGGCTGGCTTTTTCTTAGTGACATGTTTCTGCAATCTTTTTCCTTGGGCATCTTCCATATATTTGTTCTGGCATTCCTCAGCACATCGAGAACCTACAGCCATAGCTACATCTGACCAGAAACCAGGTTTGTGCTTTGGAAGAGATGCAAAAGCTCTATGGAAGACCAAAATCAGTTACACACAAGAATTTAAATCAATAAAAATAACCTCTTAAGTGCATATAACTGAATCAATGAGATATACTATAAACTAAAGGTATTTTACCAAAATCATACTAGGTAACTATTTGGAAAGAAAACAATATTCTGTCCACTCAATAACTTACTATAGAGCTTAAAATATGAAAATGTAATTTTACTTATCTAGTAGATGCCTTCTAATCTGTTGTATTCTATTAAACCTGAAAAATGATCCTGGGTCTTTTAACATTTCCTTCGTAAGTCCAACTAATCAATGATTTGGTCTTTTGGAAGATGCTAGCATGACTACATTTTCTACGTTGTTGCCCAAACCTTATGAGTGCTAAGTATAATGGAAGAGAAGCTCAGTTCCTATATAATCCAAATTATAAACTCTTTATTAAAAAGTGTTAGTTTTTTTCATTATACTATAATTTACAGAACACATTTTTAGATGAAATATTCTAATTGAAAGAAATGAAAATTGAAATAGAAAACAAACTACAAATCAACATAAGGAAGTCCCCACTTTAACAAACAAATTTTGTTTTTAAAATTTGTAAATGATTATTTACAGGTATACATATTCCAAAAACCAAAAAACCACACTCACTACCATCGAGTTGATTCTGACTCATAGTGACCCCCATTGGATTTCTGAGGCAGTATACATATTACTGCCCTAAAAATGATACTAGCAATGTTATTTCAGTATCTCCTATACCATCCTTCATGTAGTTATTTAGTTCAAGTACCACATAATTCATAGGATTTGCTTATGGACTTGATATCCCAAATATTGCTATATTTAACCCAATTTTCTCAATCTTTACAGCTTCCATATTGGTACAGAACACAATGGATTATTGCAACAACCCCATAATTAGTATCTTGTCTCCTCCTCAAAGGAATCTTCTCAAAATGTATTATGCTGCTCACATATGTCTTTTTAATGTACCTTTAAAAAAAACACCAAAAACTAAACTCCTAATCATGATCTAGAGGGTTGTGTACAATATGGTCAGAGCCTATCCCCCAGCTTTTATGTCATTTCCCTATAACTCATTATGCTCTAACAACAGTTTTATTTTAGTTCCTCATACAGTAAAATTCTTCTAGCCTTAAGGCCTTTGTTTAGGTTATTCTCTATTTCTGGGATGCTCTTTCTCTAACTTTTTATATGAATGACACCATCTCATTCTTTAATGTCCATTTAAGTGTCATCAAACAAAAGAGTGCTTTTCTGATCACACTGTAGTTCTTCATTTCAGTCTCATGGCTGCTTCCTTCACAGAATGTAACACAATTTGTAACTCTTTTTATTTGTTGGTTTTCTTTACTGTCTTACCTACTAGACCACAAGTTACTTAAGAGAAAGGACTCTGCCTATTTTACTTATTGCTATCTCCCCAAACTCTAAACACTGACAATAGATAGAAGGCACTCAACAAATAAATGTTGAATGAGCTAAGGAAACAGCAAGTTCTAAACTGAACTTGACTTCAATTTCTGTACTATCAAATCCTGGACACTTGGCCAAATTTTTGAGACTCTGTTGTCCTCCCTATAAATGAGGGGAAAAGACTATACTAAATAATCTATAAATATTAGTTCAACTTTAAGGTTTTTAATAGTAAATTGAATTATAAAATATTTCCTAAAATTGTGTAGCTAAGAGAGAGAGTAGCATTTGACTATCTTGAAATATTAAATGAGAATGAAAAGCTTATTTTTACTTTCCTTGTGTTTTAGAGATGACCCAAAGTACTCAGTTTGAAGTTACCTCTGTACGTTCACTCTATTCTCTGTATAAACTGTAATTTCTCCTCATTTTTTTGGGGGGGGGGATGCCATCTTCTATGTTACAGTCATTAACGTAAACATTTTTATGTTTGCTATTTTATGTCTTCACCTGTTTCGTGGTCATTCTGTAGATATTTTACCCACTACTTACCGATGAAGTTTCTGTAACTCCTCCTCATTCCATTCCTCATCCTGAGTTAAACCAGGTGTACATTCCGAAGGATGTCTGTTCATCTTATCAGATCCCATCCCCTCAACAACAGGAGATTCATTCCTGGTATCAGATTTCTGTATAGTTTCTTTAGCAGAAGATCGAATTTTCTTTTGTTTGATATAATATTCACTTACACTTTCTTCTGTTTCAGATTCAGAAGTCACTGGGATATTCCTTGTGGTGTTTCTTGTGCTTTTTCTCAGGTGGTCCACTGTTTTCTTGGTATTTCTTGCTTTGGTTTTCTTAACAACTCTAGCTTTCCTTTTAATGTCTTTCTCTGTTTTGCTCTCTTCACTAGACAAATCTGATAAAGACTGATGTTTGTGAAATGACGTATCTATTTGATTTTCAATTTTCTTCAGTGCTAATAATCTTGTATTTTTCTTAAAGTTACAGGTGGCCATTTGTTCCTTCTTAGGGGTAGGTATTTTTATGTTCTTGTTGACAGTGAGTATATCATATTCACTGCAATCTTCATTGTTTTTACTTTTATGATCCATATTGTACTCAAATGTATTTTCTAAAGTCCTTGTGGGCTTCCTGATGGGACTGGTGATTTTATTTAAGTCTGATTTACTTTCTTTCTGATGCTTTGGCATTGCAGAATCTGTTACTGCTTTAATGGTACTAGCAGACAGATTATACTTCATGCATTTCTGCTCTATCACTTTTTTAGATTTAAGTGGTGTTACTAAAATATAAGCTCTCTTCTGATTGATAGCCATGCATTTTCTTTCTTCGTCTGAGAAAAACTGGTCTCTTGAGGTTGGAGTATCAGTGGATATATTTGATTTTTCAGATCTTTCTTTAATTTCATAAAACGAAACCAAAGATCAAAATGTTAAATTTTTAGCTATAAGCAAGTATAATTAAGTAGTTTTTCACAAATACAGTATTTTATTCACAAACCCCATTGTACACACTTATTGTTGTTATATGCTGTCGAGTCAGGCCTGACTCATAGTGACCCCCCCTTGGGTTTCCGAGGCAGTGTCACTATGGAAGTAGATTGCCCAACCTTCCTTCCGAGGAGTGGCTGGTGGGTTTGAACCGCCAACCTTCTGGTTAGCAGTCAAATGTCTTAGGCACTATGCTACCAGAGCTCCCATTGTACACACTACAGTATATTAATCTTCTTGAAACACAGTTCTGTTCAAACACTGCCCTTTCAATTATAAACACTGATTATTGTTTATGTAAATCTGTCAGTGACTTCTCATAGTCAAATGGTATACAATCCCCTGCCTTGCTCTGTATATAGTTCTATCTCTCACTACATTCAGATCTAACCTTATCTGTGTCTATCGGACCACTTGCTGTTTCTCAAATATTCTTGATTCTTAACTTTCATTAACGTTATTCACCCTAATTGGAAAGTTCCCTTTACTTACTTCCAAACTACTTGTCAAATTCTACTCTAACTCACGTAGTCTACAAATTTTGTTGTGATTCCTTCAAATGAATGAAAACTCTCCTTCTTTCTTCAAGTTTCCAGAATATTTTAAAATAATGCCACATCTGACAAAATGCCCTGCATTAAAATTGCATAGTTGTCTTATCTTTCAGCTAAATTGAAAAAATCATTACTGGCAAGACTTGTCTTCATGTTTGGATTTCTTTTGCTTGAGTTAGTATAGAGTCTTACACACAAACAGAAAACACAACCCAAACTCCAAACCCATTGTTATGTTGATTCTAACTGATGGCAAACAAGTATGTTAGCGAGTACAACTGAAGCACCAAAGGCCTTTCATTTTTATGGAAGCAGATCACAGGCCTTTCTTCCACAGTGCTACTAGGTAGGTTCAAACAATCCTCCAAACTTTTAGTTAAGAGCCAAGTGCAAATTATTTGTGCTATCCAGGGACCTGCTTTCACATACTCAATAGATGCTAAATATTTGTTAAATCAATTATTTGGAGGTAAACTAGGCTACAAAAGAAAAGTACTAGGGTCACTAGAACCTTACCTCTTGTTGTTATGTGCCAACGAGTCAGACCCGACTCATAGTGACCCCTCCTTGGGTTTCCCAGGTGGTATCACTACGAAAGTAGATTGCCCAACCTTCCTTCAAGGAATGGCTGGTGGGTTTGAACCACCAGCTTTCTGGTTAGCAATCAAATGCCTTAGGCATTATGCTACCAGAGCTCCTAGAACCTTACTAGGTATTAAAATATGAAATAGAAGCTGTTCTAATTAAGGAAGGAGTTAGGAAAAAATGCAACTCCATTTATGACCCTTACTCATTCCCCATAGTGGCAAGAGGGACACCTTTGCTGAATCCCTCAAAACTCTATGAAACATGAAAAAAAAAAAAAGCAAAATAGAACCAGGAAATCTTTATTCCCCATAGTGGCAAGAGAGACACCTTTGCTCAATCCCTTGAATATCTATGAAACATGAGAAAACAACCAAAATAGAACCTGGAAATCTTTAATATACTGTGTAACTAAAGGAGGGAAGCCTTGGGTGTTCCATAACTGCTTGTCTACTAGCCATAAAGATTAGTGGTTTGTACCTACTCAGAGGTGCCTTGGAAGACGGGCTTGGAGATCTGCTTTTGAAAGGTCTCACCTCTGAAAACCCTATACACGTGGGGTTGCCATGAGTCAGAATCAATTAGACAGAACTAACAACAAGTTAAAGAAAGCAAATTAAATTGAGCAAAATCCTTTTTATTTGATACTCAGGAAGCTAGAAGACAGAATAACTGAAATTTTAACTTTAAGATTATTAAATTGTAATAATAAATATAAACTGTAAATCACTAAAGCAATCATCATACTGAAATTCTGCAACAACTTGCACATATTATGTGCCATTTTACAAGATGAATGAAAGCTGATGGCTACACTGAATACTGGGGAGAAAAGAACTCCTTAAATTATAATTCATGGAGAAACAGTACTAATCAAAAGAAACCTAGAAAGCTTCTGCAAGATTTTTTGCTGGCATCAAATACCTCCAAAAATTATGAGGAAAGTGTTTTCTTCTAATTCCGCATATAAATCAGTTTCAAATGTTCAACTGAGAATTTGAAATTTTGAACATTTTAATTTTAACAAATGTTAAGTGAATGTTTTTTATTAATTATAATAAATAATATGAATAAAGATTCAGCTTATTCAGGATACTTAATCCATGCCCCATGAAGCTGGCAGTCTAAGTTGTAGCACTTTCCTTCCCACTTCTTATAACATTTTTAAGTGTTATTCACTTTCACATCTTTTCACTTATAAAAACAAATAAAATTAAGAAAAAAATGCCACTAAACTGACAGATTTAACTCAACATAAAAGTTTAAACTTGATGATGTTTAGAGAAAAGGCTCTTAAATTTTTGGTATGTAGAATTTTGATTAATCCCTCTGAAAATCTTCACTTAAACAAAACTGTAGTATTAATTTCATAAAATGAGTCACAGTCTTTAAACATAGCATATCTGGGAGCTCTGGTGGTGTAGTGTGTAAGGCATTTGATTGCTAACCAGAAGACTGTTGGTTCAAACCCACCAGCCACTCTTCGGAAGGAAGATTGGGCAATCTATTTCCATAGTGATACTGCCTCGGAAACCCACGGAGGGGTTGCTATGAGTCGGATCTGACTCGACGGCAGTGAGTTTGGTTTTGTTAGTTTTTATTTATAGCACATTTAAAATGATATATAATTTTGTGATGTAAACAAAATTATTTCGGACCTAGGTTAAAGAAGGGAAATCTTTAAATAAATCTGGTGTTTAAAATAATGGATTGTTTTATTATGCAAATCAGTTTATATTAAAAACAAACAAACAAACAAAAACATTTATCACCATTACAATAGTTTAAGCTTAACATCTGAGATTTGGAAATTCATAAGATCACTTTTTTATATTAATATATTTCAAGTATTACCCGTCGTAATTATCATTATAAAACTATGAAGAATATATTACCTTGCTTCTGACTTTTAATTATCCTTTCATTTGTTCTTTCACAATTTTTGAGTTTCTTCGAAGACAGCTTTTTATATTCTTTTTTTTCAGTTAATTCCTTCAAAACAAAGCATACAAATTTCTAGGTACTTATGGTTCTGACAAATTCTATTAAGGAGGCATTCAGAAACCCATTTGCCATAACTTGAACTTTGGAAGCACTATCTAGATATTCACTACTTCTCAAATGTCTCCTCTATTGATTTAGCACTTTGTGGGTTTTGAAGTGCTTTCATATATAAATTATTTAATTTAAGCCTTAGCCTAAGAGCTAAAACTTCTGTTATTGTTGCCTATACCTTCCCAATGAGAGAGAGAAATATACAGCCCAAAATTTACCCACAACCTCAAAGCTAATAAAATACAAACAGAACTCAAGTCTTTTGATTTGGTCCTGAATCTTTTCAGCAGAATCACACCATCCCTCTACACATCAAACAGTGTACAATAAAAGCTCACCTGGTTAGATAAGTCACATTTCTCTCCATTTTGAATAGCATTATTTATTTGGTCATCTGTGAGCTTTAACGGTGTTTTATTTTGGCGATTACTATGGCAAACGTTTAATTCTGTAGCTCCTGGCAACATATTGCTCTTACTATTCTTCAATTCTATGAGTGCAAAGAGGGAAATTTCTATAAATTATTATAAAAAAGGCAAATTGCCTTTCTACATTTAAGAATTGACTTTGACACAAAAATGACCAGAATTACTGGTAGGATAGAGACTGGTAGAGCCCCTCAGACTATGGCCCCAGGTTATCTTCCAGGCCTGGAAATGGACTCACTTGTGTGGATTTGCTCTCAGCCCAACAGCAGAAAGACTTATAAGCAGAACACTTACTGTAGGGAGATGCACCCACCTACCCTAGGGAGGTGTACCCCTTAGATCAATCAACCATGAGATATCAGAAGAGCAGTATCCACATAGAGGAAAAGCTGGGCAGACAGGAGCGCATAGACAAGAAGTGCACAGGGGAGGGGCAGTCATGGGGAGGGCTTTTATGGTTTTATGGTTGGGGATCGTAATGGGGGCTGTGAAAGCGAATGTGCATGCACTGTTGAGAGTAAAACGAATCTGCTTTGTAAATTTGCAACCAAATCACAATAAAAAATGAAAACAAACAAACAAATAAATAACAGCAGCAGCCTGAAGCAGAAACAGATCCTCCTCAATTGTAAGAGTTTGATCATTATAATACTGGCATTTAGCATTTACCAGTAAATAATATTCACCCCATAAAAAAGTGAATTGACTTTGAAATAATGTGTTTAATCTAATGTTACAAATATTCGTTATAATCTGAATATGATATAAAGCAACTTCATTTGGTCAGATAAAAACTCTGAATAGGGTCATGTTTTGTTCAAATGACTTGTATTCTCTTAAAAAAACAAAAAACTGGACATTTTATTCATAGCTATCTATTTTGGATCTCCTTTGTCAGATCTAAAGACAGAATAGTGAAGTTAACCCAGTTTGTAAATACATGTTCCTGTTTATCCTAATTGCATATCAACTACTTGAAAGTTAATAGCTCTAATTTGTTTCCCTCATATGTCTTCATGTATATGAAATCCTTATATTTCAATTAGTCTGTGTATTTCAATATATAACTAAATTCATATTAATTAAAACTGTGTATAAACCAAATTATATATTATATAATATGTGCTCAACCAACAGTTATTATGCTGAAATTCTAGATAAATTAAAAAGTACTCACAATAACTGTAAAAATGTTTTTGTTATTTTTTCAGAACCTATATTTGAAGATGTACAATGGATGGTCCCTACTATTGACAATATAACAAGATAATGGAGAAGACTTTTGTTATAATAGATCATTTATAACATAATCTACGAAGTAGAATAACATAAAACATGTTAGGAGTAATACTATGATATGAAGATTATAGCACTAACATGAAAAACATTTTAAGTAAATCATTAAAACACACACAAATACAAAATCACATCAAATCATGGGCTAGCATTCTGCACATCCTTAGTTTAATGTTAGATGTAATTCTGTTTTACTTTATAGTTGTTTTTCATGGAAAGTGTAATGATAATGATAGTAACAACTACTACCACTACCACTCCAAATAACTTCATGTGATATGAAGCTACTCAGTGTCTACCAACTCCACAAAACAAAGATCAAATGACTCAAACTAGAAAAATAATACAACCATCACAGAACACAGTAAAGTATCTGCCACTAAATGGTACTTCCAAAGGGGAGGCATAACCTAACATCTTACTCATCTCTAAGTTCCTAATAACTAACACAGATACAAACACCTATCATGGAAGGTGCTTTAAGTTTGTTGGATGATTTTACTGTGGACACAGCTGGAATGTAAAGTAATTTTCCAAACTTTAGTTTTTAAAATTTGTATTCTATCCCACTTGCCACTGGTCTTCTCAAACACTTTACTATAGTTGTATTCACAGTTAAGCTTAAATTCCTTAAAAGTGCTGCTCTAAGTGAAAGAAAAGATAAAAAAAAAAGAGACAATATGATCTAAGGTTAAATTGGAACAAAAGATAGAAAGTGAGATAAACCTTTAAAGATTTGTAAATTTAGAAGTAATAAAGTAGATAGCAGGTGCTGCAATACCAGGATGCAGGATGGTCTAAGCAATGACTGCAATATGCCTAATTTATAGGAAATGGAATGACTGTTGATAAAATGACAAAAGACTGAGAAGGAACTGGACAAAAAGGTAAGCTCTGGGCAAGCAATCACCTACATATTTCATTTTACCCTTTCTCTGTACTAGAAAGCATAAACAAAATATCAAGGGAGGGAGTAAGTGAAAATGATATTAAACAACTTCATTTGGTCAGATAATAACTCTGCATTTGTTCAAATGATTTGTATTCTCTTCCAAAAATCAGTATCAAGGTGGAAGGGGAAGGAGTTTATAGGGAGATATGAAGCAGATTTATATCCAGTATGGAGCTTTGTTTTTGACTGAAGCATTCCTAAACTCTTGAAGTTCTGCAGAGCTCACAGTTACAAAGTAATTCTGTGCTCTTTGGAATTCTAATTAATCAAAAGATTATATTTACAGAAGTGAGCTGAATGCTGACCATAAGCAATCTGCATTGTAGTTTCTCTTCCTTAATTATTAAAAACGCAGGAATTTTAGGTCAGTATAAGTCAAAGAACACAATACTTATATACATTATAAACAAAAATAGAGCACAATTTACTATTATCTCAACAGAAAGGGGCAAACATACCCATGTTATCACAATCAAGGTCATAAGTGGTGCTGGCTCTTTGGAGGACATTTGTTTGGTTTTCTTCTGCATCATTTTTCATTGATTTGGGAATGCCTGGGACAGATCTTCCAATTTTCTGTTTTTGTCTGTTCTCTTCTCCTTTCTTTTCACGAGCCCTAAAAACAATTACACTATTTTTCCTCTTGAACTAGTCCTCAAAAACGAAACAAAACACACATACACACATATGCAAAAAACAAAAAACTAAAATCACAAATAAATAAGTAAAGACATCTGGGATAAATCTCGCCCCACCCAGCATTGATCCCCATTAATCTTACATTATTTAATCCTTTATGGCCACTACCACTCCCTACCTTGTCTTAGTAAAAGACTTGGTAAAAAACAACTCAAATATAACCTCTTAAGTGCTTCCTACTCTATGCTCTTGTAATTCCTACTTAAGTTGATATTATAAGTCAAGGGTTAGAAAACTGTGGGATAAATCTTGCCAGTCACCTGTTTTTATAAAGAAAGCCTTGTTGGAACCCAGTCATGCTCATTCATTTATATATTGTCTATGGTTGTTTTCCCCACAACAAATGCAGAGTTGAATAGTTGTAGTAGAGGCAGTATAATATTTATAGACAGAGGCCAACATTTAAATCTAGCCTTTTATAGAAAAAACATGCCAACTTCTGCTTATAAGCTATTACACTGTACTGTGATTAATTAATTTACTTTTCTGTATTCTCTATAAGATCCTTAAGGACATGAATCAATCAAGTCTGTTTCCACAGTGCCAGCCACAGTGTCTGCCAAGTAGCTGACTTTCAGTAACTACTGACAGAATGAAATGAAGGGTACTTGAAGGGTAGGTGATTAAAGATGACTCCTTGAAATGTATCAAAGGCTTTATATTCTTTATAGATTTATTCCAAATGACAAGATCTCTAGGAAGATGTTACTGCTTTTTGAAAGTCTTTTAAATTCAAAAAGAGCTTCTAAAACAAAAATTGAAACCATTTTACAAATTGGTTCCATAGTACATACCTATGTAAAAGTTCATTGAATTGTATACCTAAAATGTATGTCTTTTTAAAATGTAAATTATACAATAAAGTTAAAAAAACACTTTACCTTAATTGTCCTAGAAAAGTATCAATATGCTCTTTCCAATTTTTTGGAAATCCATACATGAACTTCCTTATGAGATAGTTTGGATATCCTGTTGAACAAAAAATCAAAAAACAAAGGTAAAGGTATTACTACTTATCTTCTAAAGAGATATCATCAATTCATTAAAACATTCAAGAAATATGTACTTATTACTTCCTATATGCCAGGCATTGTCATAAATACTAAGGATTCAGTGATAAAAGAGACAAAAATGCCCACACTCATGGCACCTGCCTTTCAGGGTAAAACAGAAAGTAAACATAAGTAAAATACCTTGTTTTTCAGATGGTCATCAGTGCTGAAATAGAGATAATTTATGTAAGGAAGGAGAAATGAGACAAATTATATAAGGAATGAGGATAGGGATACCAGTGTGTTCATTGTGAGAAGTGGGAATAGGATGGGAAGTAATTTTTGAAAGGATAGCTAGTGAGATTTTCCACTGAAATCTGAAGGACTTGAGGGGGTGAGCTATATGGCAATCTGGGATTGTTGTTGTTGTTTTGCTTTTTTTTTTTTTTTCAATTGTGATTTGGGTGAAGATTTACAGAGCAAATTCACTTTCCATACAACCATTCACATATACTTTGTCTCATGTCATTGACCATAGTTTACCACAATGCAACAGCTCCCCTCCCACTTCCTCCCCATAGTTAGCTCTTCCCAGTGTCCATCCCTCCATACACTCCTGCGCACTGAGCTGTCTCCCTGTGCATAAGCACCCCTTCTTTCTCCCATGATTGTTCTCTCCAAGGAGTGTA